CACACACACACACACACACACACACACACACACACACACTCAGAGCCATCCCCTTACTCCCCTGCTCCCTCTTTTATTACTCAGTCAAGTTCCAGTTTCCCACTTCGATTAGATAAATTCGCCTTTTAGTCGTATTTTTGTGTATTCTTGAAACGTGAGATGAGACCAAAGCCATTTTGACATCTGCAGCCCTTCTAGGGAGGATTTGTGGAGCACATTATCTAAATGGACCCAACATCTAGGCTGATAAAGTCCATAAAAAGCACTATCTGTTCAGAAGTACCGGGCTAACATTTTGACACTATTTTATCCCAGAAAAGCCACGTTTTATTTTCTTAAATGATGCATCAGATACTGACAGTGAGACGTTTGGCTACCTCTAACAAAAAGAGAGAAAAAATCCATATTCCCAGCTCTCTTTCACCTACTTTGTGACCAACTTTGAAGTCTGAAAAGAGGAAGATATGAGAACAATGGTGGACATTTTAGAGTCTGAGCAATGGCTGATATATTCATTCTAACCTATACTTTGATCAATAGGCACCAGTTGGAAACATTGAAAAAAACACACACACACAACCCAAGCAGGACAAGGTTTTCCAGAGGACTTCAGACACTTTTTTAGTTTAATACGTAGTTTGTTTGGGTTAGTAAGTCTCACGTTATGGCCGACCCCTATAGTCAGCACCATAGTCAAGCTGAGTCTTTACTGGAACTTCAATTTTAGTTTTTGCAGAGGAAAAAAAATGTCGACAAACCTCCAAACAGTGGTCCCACCATTTGCAACATCACTATTTAATTATAAACTAATTTTAAACAGCGAGGAATGGCACCTGGAAGAGAGGAAGAGGGGGGAAGGATGCGAGGAAGGCCCGGACACATCTCATCTGCTCGTCAAGCCCCTCAAACGCGGGAGAAAAAAAAAACGAGAATGTGTGGGAACAAAGCAGAGAAGTGGAAACTGATGACAGCTATGAGGGAAGGTAAACAGCGGCCTTAAAGCAGCCGCACACATCCACACCGCCTTTAGTCCCGTCCTCCATATTCCCGTCCCTCACCCTGTAATTCCCACTCACGCCCTCATTCCCCCCCGCTCTCTCATCCTGGGAATCCAGGTGGTGCAGACATGAGAGGATAAAGACACCCAAAGCCCTAAGATGTCCGCCGTCCTATTATTTTACAAAGTCCGACATCACTTTAACTTTAACAGAAGTTCATACATCTTTGTTGTTTTTCATTATTAGAAAGCATGGGATGGATGGATTTAGTCTAGATTGGAAAATGGTTGTTTGACTCCCGAGGAGGAAGGAAATTAGGAAAAAGAGGGGTTTTAAGGCCCCGTTTTTTCTCAGGTCCCATGACGGTGCAGAAAAATGCACTTTTTTCATATAAAAATCTATTTTTCTGTAGTTGGACCTAGTTTAATTTTGGATCGAGGTTAACAGTAAATGCGTTTTTCCTCCAAGGTGTTCACTTTGAGGCCATTTAGAAAGAAACTTTAAAGTGTGTGGGACATTTCCCAGTGGCTTTTTTCTGAATGACTGTAACAATAAGCAGAGACAGAAATAAAAAGTTTCATTTTGCAGGTCCTCAAAGGTGCTGACGGAATTCCCTAAACAGCAACGGTTTTACGAGACGATTCAGAAGTGGGAACACACAAAACACAAACACACCGATGTGAAAATGTCCTTTTTGTACTCAGGAGAAATGAAAAATTTGGCTCTCAGAAAGGATCGGCTTGGATAAATACTCATTTCCAGGCATAGGCTGCTCCCTGCTGGCTGTGCAAAGTCAAAACAAGATATTCAAAAATCAGCCTCACTCCACCAGGCTGTTTTATGCTCCCCCACTCTAAAAAGTCAGGGGGGGGGGGTCACTTTTAAAGGAAACTGGCTACACAGATGTTGAGGTGGATCGTGATTACTTTTAGACATTAAACTACACCTCAAATTTTTATCATAGGTTGACTTTATCATAAGCATTCGCAATTTGCGCTTTTGAGCCGTAACTGTACATAATTTTCTTTATCAAAAGTTCGAAAACAGTACAAAAACATAAAACTCAATAATCCAAACTCTCATGGATGATTACAAACACCAGGCCACATATAATGGAAAAATAAACAAAAGATAAATAGGGAGAGAAAACATATACTTGCAAACTCAGAACAAAAAGTTTGTAGCTATCTGTCGTGAGATGATTCTTGCAGTTTTAGATTTTTTTGTGTATATAATGAAGAATAAAAGAGCTTAGATTTGTTAATAAAACAAGGGAAGGAAGGCTTATTTCCTTTCCACTTATTGGAGCACATATGGTATCCATCTAAAAGAGCTATTATATTAATAACATCAGAGAAAGCTGGATTTAGGCTATCCATATAAAATGAAATTGCATCAGTATCAATCAAAGGAATGTTACGATGAACCCAGTTCCCAATATCAGTCCAAAGACTTTGTGAATATTTACATGAAAATTTTTTTTCTGAAGGTTTCAATTGCTGATTTACAAAAAACACAATAATTTTCATCAAACTTGAATTTTCTTTCAAGAAGCGTGAACACTGGATATATTTTATTTATGATTTGATATGGGCCACTTAATAAATTTAGAATGAGCAAAAGTTGTGTTTTTTTATAATTTATTTTAGGATACTATTTAAATATATATTTTGATTATAATCAAAATAGATATTTTTGTTTCATTCCGTCATTGATAATGTTATTACATTTAGAGTAACTTAAGTTACAATGTTCACTTTTTATGTGGGCTGTGAAAAAGCCACTTGAGAAAAGTCAGGTCACTTCCGGTGGCAGTGGCTGCACTTCCGGTGGCAAGACGACACTTCCGGTTTTAGCGCTAGCTAAAGCGGGAACTGGGAAAAACGACGCTTCGGGTCACTACTGCCGGGAGTCCAAGCTGCTGTCTGTCCATTGTTACCCATAATATGGACCAGCTTCTGGAAATACAGACTAGCTAACATTACTGTGGTTGTTTCAATTGGTCGCAACTTGTCTTATAATAAAATGATTAAGGTTCCACAGTTACAACTTTATTTCTGCCGGTAATTCCTTTAAATCTGCCTCAGACATCTTTACTCTTCAGTAATCTGACTGATGGGCATTTTCATCTCACTAAGTTCTAAATGTGTTCAGTCTTATCACTTTTCTGTTTTGTCTTCTGTATATAAATCCTCTCCAAGTTTTCATGCAATAAGTGGCCCATAAACTTCAAATGATGACCTTAAATCCTGGGACGTATTAATAAAATCATACTTTATAATGCAGCATTGCTTGCTACCTACTATAAAATTGAACAAAAACAAAGTTTGTCCATTAACCAAAGTCCTAAGCTGTCTGATTTAAGGCTGAAGAAAAAAACCCAAGAACATTTTAGTTTGAGTGATGCTGCTAAAAACACCTTCATACTAGACAAAAACTGGGCTGATATGAGTGTGTGCGCTTAACTTGTACATTAAATAAAGCAGAAGAGACGAATGACTTTTTACGCCTTTTTTTATTTCTCCATTTCCACAACTCTTGCGACGCACTTAGAAGTTCCTGTGAAGCGGGAGGGAAGGGAGAACAGACGTTAGTGTTACCGAGCCAACAGCACAGACGTGTGTGTGTGTGTGTGTGTGGATGAGAGCGGGTCTTTACTTTGCAACTACGGTGTCGTTCTTTGCCAGCCTCAGGATGGAATCATCAGACTCTCCCTGAAAGATGACAATCACCGGTTGAGAAAACATTCCATATTGTTTGCTTTGTTTCAAGTATCTCATCTGTTTTAAGTTCCTTTTTTAATCGCATAAAATACTTTGATTCTAACATGGTCTCTTAAGAAAGAAACTCTTCATCTAACATTTGGAAAAATACAGACATTGAACATAGCCAACATGAAAATAGAGGCATATCAGCTCAAATATTACAAATAACGGGACTGTGTTGTGTGGAGCTGTGGGTAGAGTCACCTAACCACTCGGCTTTAATACAGTACCGTTAAGTTCAGGTTTTGTAGTTTGTGTCATGTTTGTATGCTTTCAGTTGGAAAAATACACAAAATGATTGTACTTGTGTTCTTAATATTCAAGCACGCAAACTCATGACACTGTTCATTTATAATATCATAATGGCAATATTGTCCACTATAATATCAAATTTTTATCAAATCGTGCAGCACTAGTTCTTCATTGAGCTCATTTTACCATTTGAAAATGTATCTGAGCATCTATAGAGTCCTGTAAATGGAGGGTGTCTACATCTCCCCCGATTTAGCTCAGTGGGCCAGCCGACAATCCAGAAATCATCGAGACAGAGCTGGCTCTTTCAGAAGTCTGCTTGGAACCACATTCTGGGTCAACTCACCATTCTGCGGATGGCGCCGCAGATGGCGTAGGTCTTGAACTGACCGTTGAAGCGGCCCGTTACTTTATCAACCTGAAACAGAAGAATACACGGCAAAGAGACTTTTTAAAACCTGCTAAAAGGCGAAAAATGCTGGTGACAACAGTCTGATTATTGATTCTGAGCTGGGACCGCTACACTAGAGCCCAAACGCCTTTAAAATGTGTCTTTTTAAAGCAACAGAGGCTAGGCTGGTCCCGATCTGATATCTGGATTGGCCGCCGAAATTTGCAAAAAAAAAAAAGCGTACCAGCCGGCAGGAGAAAATGCCGATCCAGTTTTCAATCCCACACAAGCGTTAGCATCTCCTAACCCACAGGTCTGTGTCCTAGCCATTAAGTTGTTATCAGAGTAAATCCCTGTTCAACATGAGTCTGACAACTAAGGAAGTACATAAATACATTTAGACTTTAATACATGCTCTGATAGGCCGGGATCGGAAGTTCAAGAAGCTGGATCGGGACATCCCTAACAGAGGCAGAACTGAGGGGTCATCGGGATCATCTCCATGACGACGACAAAACACTGATTTCCTTTTACAGACTGATGCTGATAAGTTCATCACTAAACTTGCTACAACTGCTGACCCCTCATGGGGACATTCACTCACACATGGGAAATATGTGAAGCCATGCCAACTTCTCTAATATCAGAACATGTCCGACAGATTCTGGATGGAAAGCAGTGGAGAAGCCTGTCATGGACACAAGACGCTGGCCTGAGGAAGTGGGACACTTTTTCTAACAGAGTAACCAGCCTATCAGGAGAAGGGGCTGACAGGGCAGCCCACACCAGCAGAAAGACAGAAGAATCCAGCTAACTAGGGCCAGCCTTAGCAGAGGAGTCCATGAAAAGGGTTTAAGAAGCAGAGGCCTCATGCAAACCCACGGCCTGAGATCATTTCAGTTTCCCCACGGCGTTCAACAGCAGGAAAGAAAACAGCTCATGGCAATTTCCCAGCATGTAAACGTAGTTCGAACCGTGCACTGAACTCAAAACAGCAGCAAAATGACCGAACATACCCTGAAAAGGCACAAAAATTCAAATGGAACTCGGTAGGTAATTGTAGAAAAGCCAGCAGCACGGTGAAAATTTTGAGGGCTTAAAAATAAGCACCGACATCAAACTTCCAGATTAAGGCAAACAATAATAATTGCAAACAATCAATAATTCGGGAGAGACTTACTATAGTCAAACAAGGCTGGAAATAGTCCTGATTACGGGAGGCCACCAAACAGCTTTATTTGTAAAGCCCCAAATCACAACAAAACATAACTCAGCCCTCTGTACAGTAGAACTATAGCCCCCGCTCATCCTAATGACTGATACTTGTACAAAAACAGGCTACACCGATGTGAGCAACATGCCATTTTAAAAGGATAATGCTTTGGGAGAGCGGTTCAAGCCCAACAACACATTTAAGCAAACGCAGCTTAAAAAACGCTGCTGGAACCAAAACTGTCACAAACATCTGCAGTATTAGAATTAACAAATTAGTTTATTCTTTAGTCTGAATGCTACTTTTTCAGTAAAATTGCAAGCGATCCATAAAGACTTAACTGTTTGCATTTACATCAAATTATAACTTTGAATTTTTTTTATCATATGCATCCAAATGAGACAGATAAGATGGTATAAATTAGAGAAATGACAGAAAACGTGGGTAGATTAAGGGAGCAGCTTTGGCTTTACCTCGGCAATGTTGATCTGAATGGAAGCATGGTCTTTGGCCCCGATGATTCTGTTGCTGGCCGAGCTGTAACACAAAGAGAATAGGCAATTTAATTAACTATTTCCACCTCTGAAAGGCTCACTGTCGTAAAAGAAAAAAAAATCATTTTCGGCACTCACCATTTCCGTGGGACGTACAGGTCCACAAATTCACCAGCGTCGTTCTGCATTTTCCAAAGTGGGGTGAGTGCTCGTCAACGACTCTGAAGAGAAAAACTAAGTTATTAAATAAATAAATCCGACCCAAAAGTCGCTTTTTAGCTCCCGGTTCAACAGCGGACAGAGCCGTACGATGCGACAGCTAGCTAAAAATGCAGGCTAACCACAACACGCCGCCATTAAAAAAAAAGCCACCGATACACATTTGTGTGGTCACGACACAATACCCGCAACACAAACGAGAGCTGCCGGACAACACGTCTACGAGGGTTCCGTCCCAAGAGCAGCCGGTTCTAGCGCTAACGGCTAACTCCCGGCTAGCGCCCAGCTAGCACGCGGGGCCCACGGCCGCGTGCGGCTGCTCACGCGAACACACTCGGTTACATTTGAATTTTTTCACACCAGGGCGGCAGTAAAACGTTGCTCCGGGACTAACGACGAGCAAACGGTAACGCTACCCTTTAGGGAAAATGACCAAAAGAACCAACTGGAACAGTATATACGTAAATTAGTACGTTTTTGATGTAGAGAGCCAAACAGGGACCCACCGCTCAGGACTAATGGCCGACAGGAAAGAGAGAAAACTCGTCCCGGAAACAAAAATATCCACGCGTGTTTTTTGATCACGCCACCTGCTGGACTGTGTTGGAACTCTCACATGCTCTGCACAGAAATGAGTCCATGAGTCATGGATTTGAATAAGAGGATTTTGTTTTGTTATGGATTAGATTGAAACACCCAGGAATTTTCTCTTTCTTGTAGTAAGAGTGATGCATTAATGTGTGCTCATAGAAATCTAATAATAATAATAAAGCAACAACAAAGCATGTGAGAATAGAAAACCACAGGACATCTAAATATGAGGCAATCGAATTCATATTAGTGGTTAAGTTTCAAAGGGACATCAAACTTACTGATGATCAGTCTAGCTTATCATATAAACACAATCCATACACACACACACAAAAAAGGGTTGTGAAATGGTTGCTCAAAAGCAAGAGAGAGGGTTCGTCTGGATTTTTACAAGACTAATTTTGGTATATTTGCATTCAAGCGTGCAGATTGGGTAAAAGGATGCCTGCATTCTATTTGGTAACAAGTAGGGCTGGTCAGGGTGGAACATCGAAACCCAATTTTTTTTAGTCTGTCGATGAATGTTCTTCCTGAGAAGTATATGAGACGTTTTGTTTGTCGGAAAAGAGGAAATCCATTTGGTGCCTGTTCAAAACTATTGCAAATACACCAAGACATACAACGGAGCCATTAAAACAAAGAATCGAGAATAACAAAAGACCAAAATGTTTATTTACACTTTCAAAATGATACAAGCACAAAATGAATCACAGAATATTCACCAAATCTTTCATTTAACTTAAAGTTAATTTGATACTACAACTATAAATGAACAGTAAGAGTGACTTATTGCTAATTCAAACAACTGAGCTGCTTCGTAAAAGGCAAAACACTCAAAGTAATCGTAAGATTTTTCATTTCACTTTTAAAGGTACAACAACAAGCTCATTACAATATAAGCAAAAGTGTAATCTGAGAGTTTGGTCTTGGTGATTTGATAACAGAAGTACAAGGAAAGAATATCAACTTACTAAAACATCTTAAAAAAATAATCTTTTTGGTCATAGACGTAAATGTGATACAGGCATTTAATTGATGAAATGTACACGTATAGTTCTCTCTCTATGATTTTTTGACATTGTACAGAAAATAAATTAAACAACAGATGAGGCAGATTGAAAATAAGCTAGGACCGTTTTAGAGCTGGTAGCGTCTCATACGCAGGTGCAACCCACCGCCAGCTTGTAAGGACATCTGCAGTAGTAGAACTCCGTCCCGTTTCGCACCCTCTCAAAAAGCGACACCTCCAGGAAGATCTCCTTGGCGACCAGGCCCTGCACCCTGCAGGACGTGCACTCGGCGTACTGGAAATTTTTCAGCATCCTCCCGTTTTTGTGATTCGTCCTGAAAGATTAGAAACACAACAGATGCATGAAGACATTTAAACCTGACTGAAATTAAACTTTATATTATTTTCCACAGATAGGTGGACATAGAGCTGCATTGTGCAGATGTTGGAGTTTTTTTTCTTTTCCAATTTCCATTCTTTCTTTCATAAAATGATCATAAATTAATAGTTTAATAAAATCAAGTCAAAATTTTAGGTCGTTTAGATCAGTGTTTTTCAACCTTTTTTGAGCCAAGGTACATTTTTTCATAGAAAAAAATTCCGAGGCACACCACCAACCAAAAATGTCAAACAAATCTGTAGCCGCCTATAGTAACACTATAGTTATTCTTATTTTATTCTTATCTTATCTTAAGTGTCTTGAATAGGAATCAAATAAACACAAAAATGTATTTTTATCATATTTCATATTTCTTCTTTCAAATTGCACTTAACATGTCCACTTCAATATATAAAATGATATACAAAATCTACTCATAAGGAATTATTACATGATTACTCCACCAGTCACTAGAACAGCACAGACACTCAAAAATGGAACGTTATTCGCAGATAATTAATTCCTTATCAAAAAATCTTTTTAGACCAATTAGGTGAAATAGGATGATTTTCTACGGCAAACCTGACCATCACTCACGGCACACTAGTGTACCGAGGCACAGTGGTTGAAAAACACTGATTTAGATCAACTTTAGCTCCGCAAATGAGATCCTAAACACCAAACAGGCCTGCAGAGGAGTCCTACCTCTTGAGAGTCCACGGTGCCACTGAAGATTGACTCAGCTCAGGGATGAGCCTAAAATACTGGTTTTCATATTTTTTAGTAGCTGTGCAGCCTTCTTTACATCCAATGCTTGTTCCAATCGCTGCCATTAAGACCTGAAAGAGAAATGTACCAGTCAGCAACATTCACAGACGCCCTGCCTTCTTTCAAAATACGATCAAATAAAAGTAGACGGACAATGATGCATCAATTTAAAAAAAAAAAACTGAATGAAATTAAAGATCTCATTGTAGTGAATAGAAAAAGACAGCAAATAGAAAAAGACTGTAAACATTCAGGGATGAAATCAAGACGCTTTTCTATAATCACGGAGCATTTTGTGTTATTCTGGGAAGCAAACTTTTAAATTGAGAAGTAGTGAGTGAATATTAAGACGTCAGTTTGTGCTGTTTTATCCAGAAAATGTT